TCTTTATTAATGCCCATTCTCTTTTTAGACATATTGGGCCAAAGTTAGAGGAACCAGAAGTGAAGTTGAAGTCTTGAAAGGGATAGTAGCTAGCTATTGAAGATCAGCCATTACATTCACTTTAGAATTTCAGAGGTGCCAACCCACCCAACTCCTCCCTTTTACAGGACACTGAAGCCCAGAGAAGTATCAAAACGTGTGACCCAGCCATTCCAAGTCCAGAGCCATTCACCCAATATATCTTCTGAGGTGCATTCTTTTTTTCTTTTTTTTTTTAATATATATATCTTTATTGATTTCAGAGAGAGGAAAGGAGAGGGAGAGAGGGAGATAGAAACATCAATGATGAGAGAGTCATTGATCGGTTGCAGCCCACAACCCGGGCATGTGCCCTGACCGGGAATCGAACCCCGATTGCCTGGATCCTAGGTCGACGCTCAACCGCTGAGCCACGCCCGCCGGGCATGAGGTTCATTCTTCCTAAACGGTTTCACGTGTCTCCCGGAGCCCCACAATTACCCACACAAATGCTCACTTTTATAAATCATTTACTTTTGGAAATGCATAGTTGTCACAATTTGCCCTGAAATAGGTGCTCATTTTGAGTTTTCCTTTTTAAGTTTATTCATCATATGTACTTAAACCAGAATTTAGTAATCTCTTTGCGTACACACACACACACACACACACACACACACACACACATCTTTTTACTCTGCCTCTATCTGCACTCTTCCCGTTAGGGAAATTTTAAATATAGTGATTATATGAAATCAGCTTGAGTTTGGTAGATTATTAGCCTTCGATGATCTTTGCCTGACTGCTAAGGAGAATCTGCTTGAGAGGTCACTGTGACACTGTCCGTTTGAGACAGAAATGGGATTAAATCTTTAGGGAAGTATTCTTTCTCTCACACATCCCTTTTCCCCCTTCTAGAAGTCGGGGCAGGGCACAGGGAGATGGCAGGAAATATTCTCAGCATTTCAACAGTGGCAATTTTAATTGATGATGAATTTACAGGCAGGTGTTATTTTAATCAAGAACTGCTTTTTCTAACAATTAGGCTTCTGTACGAATTTCTGGGTCCATGTAGTTAGGCCTGTGCACTGTAAATGGCCATTTTAAAGTATGCTGTATTAAAAGAAGATTGTATGTAGAATTTCACAGCGTCGCCGAATTTTAGACCGGAAAGGCCATGAAAATGCCAGGTAATTTATTACCTAGGGTTTTTTCGTATTTATTCATTCTTCATTCCGTTTACACATTCAATGATTATTTCTCTTTTTTCAGTTGTTTTGCATGTTAACTTAACTGCCAAACTTTTGAAACCCTCTGAGGAGAGCAATATTGCCATGCCTCCAAAATATTTATATTTGAGGCCTATCCTATAATTACATCCTAAAATATTTTTCACTCGAAATCTCTCTCACTAACCTGTGTGTGAGGCCATTGAGGATTAAGGCAAAATCGTTCTCTGCCACCACTGACCTATATTTTGTTCGGTGGGTTGATCAAACATTTTGTTTTTCTAAACAAGGGAAAACAGTTATAGTTCCACCTCTTCTGTGCTTCCTCTCATATGAGCTGTAAGTTCAGAATGTGCACATATGTACGATTTCAAGTGCAAAAGGAGAAGAGTAGGAAACAGATTTTCCACAGTCCCCGTCTGGGTGCTTGTGTAAGTGCCAATGTAAAGCTATTCCCTGATTAGTGAATAGTATCATGTTGCCTGGCTCTGAGGAAACAGATTTGAAAATCCAAACTTAATAAGCAGATCAACTGGGTGGGGGAGGTGAGATTATTGTATCGCATTCCAATGACATGCAGTGTTGTCAAAAACTTTTTTCTCCAGAAATGAAATTACAGGAGGCATGCAGATACCTTGCAAAATGTCAGGAAAAGGGGGCTTGGAGGAATTTAGTTAAGAAGAGTGAAAATATACCACTTATCCCAGGAAGCATACACTGCAAGCATCTGGGTATCTCAGGGTAAAGGGTGAATTTAATGTGGGTAGGGAGGAGGTTTACCGTGAATCCAAGGGGGTAAATGAATTAAGTTGAATGTCTGCAAAGAAGGGAGCTTCTGGGTGGAGGTGTGAGCCCCTAGGCCCAGAGGAAACTCCACTTACTCATCAGTTCTAAGAGCTTATAATAACTGTGTTTGCTTTCCCCTGCAGAGCAAGGGGAAACTTGTGGGTTAAGTCTTGAGGGAATCATACATAACCATTTCTCCTTTCATCCCACTTTGGGTTTAAGTTCAGATTTTGCACATTTCTGGGGTTTCCTGCTCCCCTTAAATTTCTTGCAACCAGCTTATTGATGTCTGAAATTTCTTTAACACCAGGCAAAACATTCCATTCCCAAGTTAGGGATATGACTGTAAATCTATACAGATTATAAAGTTTTATAAAATGAGGAAAAAGTTAAATACATCTTTAAGACTATATATCTAAGACTATAAGGCATCTTAATTATTTATGGGATATGGGTACACTTAACACTTACTGGATGCCTGTTCTGTGCTTGTTGCTAACAAGAAAAAAGAAAGATGAACAGGTAAATCTTCCTGACCTCCCATGACTGGGATGAGGGGACATGGCAGCTCATGCAGTAATTACAGCGGGATGTCAGTTCCACGAGACTACAGAGCACCTGGATCCATCTCACCATGTATTTCCTGCATTTGTCACAGTGCCCGGCTCATAACCAAGACTTACTATTTTTTAAGCTGAGGATACATGGATGAACGTAGTATCATAAAGACTATAAAAAAGGGATGTACAAGATGTAATATTGACTCAGGAGAAAGCATGAACAACTTTTCCTTGGAGTGATGCAGAGAAGGGGAGACTTCATGGGGATATGTTTGAACCAGGTCATGAGAGGGATTGTCCAGAGCTTCCACAGTGGTATTGCAGCCAGAAGAATGGGCGTGGGCAAAGGCAAGAAGGTGTGAAATAACACAGGTGTTCAGGGATTTGCAAATAATTTCAGAGTCCTAGGTAGTGAGAATAATGGGAATAGAATTATGGCAGGTGAGGATCATCCATGAAGGCCCACCACGAATAAGTGACGTTCTTGAGTCAAGTCAAGGCAGGTGCTGCTGGGTAACTGGACAGGTGTGGAAAATAAGGACCAAAGGAACTTGTTTCCACCTCACACTTTTAATTAAAAGAAAGATTTTGTATTTTCAGAACTTAGAGTTTTATTACCAAATGATTGTGCAATAGATGTATCATTTTACAAAGGAATCGATCATTTAATAAATGGGATTTCTGTCTTGTTCCTTTGAATAGTGACTTCATGTGGGATTTAAAATAGTCAATTTACACATGGGTTTCCAGAGACTTGCTCTGTGTGTAAATCAAGGCACATCCGGATGAGTGAGTTTCCCCACAGGTCTTGGATTTTTTGAATGACCCATAGGGTGTTTCACTGTTATGTGCATATATCTACTAGAAAGATTGAATGGGATGGGTACTCTCTTCAGTTTAGATGTGTAATCTCTTTAAAGAGCAGATCTATAGTGGAATTTTTATTTTGTTTCCTTAGACTCTTTGTATGCATTTAACTTTGTGGAACATATTCCAATTTTAAGTAAGGAGCCCTACATTAATAAAAGTTGGTTTCTTAAACTTTACTTTAAATATACCTACTGACTGTTTTAATAACAACATTAAGATCACACTAAGTTGAAACTGATAGAAATGCTACCCTTTTTCCTACATCCTCCTGCTGTTTTCTTTCTTCTACTTTCCTTCCATTAATTTTTAGATGAAATTATGTTTCATTCTGCATGTTGAGGTTTCATGTGTGTTCTTCACTTGATAGAGGATTTAATTTTGAGGGAAAGGTTCTTGGTGGATTGTATTAGCCCAGTGGTTTTAGAATAAGATGTTGGTGGGGAGGGGAGGGGTGGCAGCATCTTCAGTCATTGATTCTCTCTTTATAACTTTGCCCTTTTAGCTGGAACAGATTACCTGTGTTGTGCTTCTGGCCCTGCACAGACTGAATCACAAGGAAGAAACTTTACATAAACCATTTATACTAAATGTTTGGTATGCTGGCAACATAAATCAACAACAATATTCATTACAAATTCATCCCTTTATCAGTATTATCTTGATAGAACTGATCCCAGTGTGTGGGAATTTGAACCCTGCTTCAATACATCTAGCCCTGAGTAATTAATTATTCAGGGCACAGAGAACCTGGCCCCTGCAATGTAGAGTAATTCTTCCTGGTCAGCGTTAACTCCACTGGCAATAATAAATAGAAAAAGTCTCTAGTGATGCCAGTATTTTAAAGTGATTAATCATCTTTCCCCCCCCTTCTCCTCCCCCTTAGTTTTCTTTAACTAGGATTTTTTCAGCAATAAATCTTTAACAATACAGGTAGGAATTGTTCTGTAATTAAATTTTGCCCTGCTTAATTTCTTACCTTTTATGTGCGCGATTAAAAAAATGTTACATGTTAAGGAGCTCTGATCAAAATTCAAACCAAGAAAAATCCTTTTAGAGAACACTGAGAGATTCTCTATGGAAGATTAGGCTCTTGATTTTGAATATTAGAGCACATACTCGTAAAAATTGTTAATCAACACCAGTTGGGGTGTCAGATATTCTGAAGTTTTGAATTGCTTCACTTTCATGCCTACGGGTCGTCTGTATCAGGAAAAGCCTGACATACACATCTGTTCCCAAACTGGGAGAAAAATTACTGAACTGCTTAACTTTCAGATAACTGATACGAGCTCCATAGGAAAGGGATATTTTTCGCCCTTCCTGCCGTACAAACATACCCTTGCTGAAGCGGCAGGTAAAAGCCTGACTGAGAACGACCGTGTATTTTTAAACCATGCCCGCCAGAGCGGACGGGCCATCATGCGTATCCTGGGTGACAGGGACAGACGTGACGTATCTGTCCTGACACACGCCTGCACCGCCAGCCTGCGGCGCGAGGTGACCCCTGCCCCCCCTCTGGTGCTTTTCCCCGCTGCAGGACAGCACAACGACGCGCGGATGAACCTCGCCATTGCTCTCACTGCGGCCCGGTACGGCGCCGCCACGGCCAACTACATGGAGGTGCTGAGCTTGCTGAAGAGGACGGACCCGCACACCGGCCGGGAGCGCGTGAGCGGCGCGCGGTGCAGGGACGTGCTCACGGGTAGGCCGAGCCGCGGCGGGGCGGGCCCTGAGCATCCTGCCTTTCCCTGTGGCCGAGTTACCACCTTTCTGTCACTTCTCTTTTTCCTTAAGCCAGGTTTCAGAGTCGTCTTAACTGTATTCCTTATTGTCCACGGTGACTGGTTTAACATGCAAATTTTCCCTCCCGGGGCCTGTCAGTTTCCCCCTAATAACGATGATGATGATAATAATAATAATAAATGCAATAATAATAAATGCCCGCAGAATTCCCACAGCTCTGAATGCATTTCGTTTTCTTTACAGAAACATGTTATTAATAAAATGAAATAAATGCACCAGTTTTCAAAGCGTCATTTACGTGACAAAAGCAGTGCATTTACACATCGTTAAAGTCAATCACTTCACTCTGGTTAAATTTTCCTCTTGTCCTGAATCTGTGGCCATGTAGGCACAGTTTCAAAATTGCATTTTTTTTTTTTTTAAATACAGCCCCGTGAGATATATTGTCTCTCGGCAGCACTGTTTACACCTTTGAGTTGTAAAGAGAAAGCAGCTTATTTCCTCATCACCCTTTCTTCCTACTGACACCGACGCTGGGCGCTTTGCGGAACCGCCGAGAGCTGCGCTGACGTGGCTGCCTTCTCCCCGCAGTTTGGACTTGGTTTTGGAAAATGACTCGAGTGCGAGCCTTTTGTGTGGCTTTTCAGTAACTCTGGCCGCTCGTGTCACTCAGTGTGCTTACGGTATTCTTCGCCATAGGTTAAGTTAATAGATGAATTAGTAAGCCAGGGCGTCGGCGAGCAGAGGAACAAACGGGCTGTGCGACTGACGCCGCTTTCTCTTGCAGGGCAGGAATTCGACGTGAGAGCCAAATGTGTGATCAACGCCACGGGACCCTTCACAGACACCGTGCGCCAGATGGACGACAAGAACGCGGCGGCCATCTGCCAGCCGAGCGCGGGGGTGCACATTGTGATGCCCGGGTACTACAGGTGAGGCCCGCCCGGGGTGCACATGGTGATGCCCGGGTACTACAGGTGAGGCCCGCCCGGGGTGCACATGGTGATGCCCGGGCACTCCAGGTGAGGCCCGCCCGGGGCGCACATGGTGATGCCCGGGCACTCCAGGTGAGGCCCGCCCGGGGGTGCACATGGTGATGCCCGGGCACTCCAGGTGAGGCCCGCCCGGGGTGCACATGGTGATGCCCGGGTACTCCAGGTGAGGGCCGCCCGGGGCGCGGGAGCCGGCCGCGGGCCTTGGTATGTGCTCTCCCAGCTCACCTTCCTAATATCAAAGGAGGAGAGAGATTTCTAATCGCTGTGTTGTACACTGGAAACTAATGTAATAGTGTACGCCAGCTATAATTAAAAAATAAACTAAAAAAGGAGGAGAAATAAGTAAAGGAACTCAGCCAAAACACAAACTACAATTTCTCAGCTTTTATGGCGATACTCCTTTCTAGGAGTTCATGATTTGGGATCCATTTTTGTACTTTCATCGGTGTACTCATTTTGAGAGAGTAAGCTTAGTGTTTTTGAATTTTTATTTTTATTAAAACATTAAAATTTAATTTTGCAAAAATTTCCATAAAGGACATTTTAATTTATGAAAATGTTAATTTTATAAAACAACCAAATTTTCTTATGAAGAATTTGAGAATAAGGACCACTCAGGTATTTTAATGTTTATAACTTTGAAATATATTTTGAAAAATATTATAGCAAGTAAAAATCAGATGTCATTTCTAATTTATCATAGTAACAAAGATAATCAGAAACTGAGAAGTGGTTAGGGATCGAGATGAGATAAAAATATCTATTAATTGAAAACAGTTTAAGTTTGCTGAGGAGCATATTAAAATATTCTATTTTTGTACATGTTTGAAATTTTAACTAAATTAAAAAAGAAACATTCAATGGCTCTAGCTAAGAAATTAACAAAGATCACCCCAACGTAGATTTTAAGACATCTGTGGAAAAAATTCATGTGACCATGCTGAGTATGGAACATATATATCATTTTTATTTTCATATGTGGGGTAAATCTAGTTGGCAAACCAATAATTCTGTTTGAAATAATAATTTATGCTTAAGATATTTCTTATGACATTATTTGTAGCTGAGAAATATTAGAAACTACTTTAGTTCCTAACCTTAGGAGAATAGATAAGTAAAGTATCATATATCTGAAAAAGGGAATATTACATAGTCATTAAAATTATTATAATTTTAATGTCCTCAGAAAACACTAATGATCCAGACAATCTAAACAATGTTAATTTAGGATGGAAGACACAAGATTATATCTGCAATATAATCTAAATATTATCTAAATATATAAAGAAAAGACTAAAAGGAAATATGTTAAATGTTTAAATAATGATTGTCTCTAGGTAATGTGATTTTGGGTTAAAAGTGGTAATTTCTAGGTTATGTGTTTAGGATGAGAGGTATATCTTCCATATTTTAATAATTTTCCATAAAGGACATATAAATCTTTTAATATTTGATAAAATGGATGTACATACACATCTATGATATTTTGTTTAGTATCTGCATTCTCCTAGAATGCTATCTTGCTATATAATAGATGATGATGCCTAATTAACAGTTTTCTAGTAACTAAATATTCCTGAAGAGAGTCAAAGATACACCTAATTTATATGAAATACACTTCTACTATGAAAAAATATTACACTTCTATCAAGAAAAATATTAAAGATAATTTCTTTTCTTTTTTTTAACGTTTTTATTGATTTCAGAGAGAAGAAGGGAGAGGGAGAGAGATAGAAACATCAATAATGAGAGAGTCATTGATTGGCTGCCTCCTGCACGTCCCCAACTGGGGATGGAGCCCGCAACCCAGGCATGTGCCCTGACTGGGAAGCAAACCTCCATTTCCTGGATCATAGGTTGATGCTCAACTGCTGATCCACACCAGCCAGGCTAAAGAGAATTTATTATCCACCAACTTCCAAGGTTTTGTTCTCATTTTCTAAATGTCTACATGTAGTTGGTTGATAGTTGTTAGTATTTTTACTTAGAATTGGAGAAACTAAGGTGCTTCCATTCTTAATAATAAAAATTTTATGCAGTGGTACTTAATAGAGTTTTAAAAACTGCTAACCACAAGTTTAGTTCAAATGAAAGGGCAAGAAGTAAATATATATAAATGTTGTGTTTCTTGTATATAGAGAAGTTTTCAACAATAGTTATTTACATTTATCTTGTATTGGATTAAAAATATGCAAGGCCAGCTAGTTTATAAGGTTTTTTTTAAGGGGGGAGAGTTGTTTTTTAACATCTCTTAGTGTACAGATATAACACCTAAACTATAGACACACATTATAATCCTTATATTTGTTTAGATCTTAGCAGATTCCACACATTTTCCTGTGTATTGTATTTTGTGTTTTCTTCACTACTGTCTCATGATTTCTGAGGACACTTATTATCCCTTATGTTACTTCTGCCACTTGATAATGACATCATTTGGGATAAGCCAGTTTATACAGTGCACCTTAGTTTGCCTATTATTAAAATGGGAAGACATTCTGCTTTTTCAGGGTGCAGAGACAAGAGTAAGTTTTGAGGTGATATCCTGGTGTAGGACTTCCTGGATTTGCTCCTCACTTCACTTCTTGCTAACTTTGTGACCTTGGCAGGCTGCTTTCAGCTTCTGGTTCCTCATCTCATGATAGTACCTAATTTGTGTATGTTTTGTCAGTGACCCTTAGATCACTTTTTCTTTTGTTGACCGCTATATCCCCATTTCCTGGCACAATGCCTGGCACATGTGATCAGTAAATATTTTTGAATGAATTCTACTAACATTATTTTGTTGTTAACTTGCCCAAATTGAGACTATTGCTTCTTTTTAAAATTGAAATTTTAATATAACACCTAGCAGGGAATTTTTAAGTATAGAGAAGTTAAAACAGGAAAACAAAATACGATTCTTCATTTTACTGCTCAGATAACTCCTATAATAGGCAAAAGTAAATAAAAATAATCACTGTAGAGAAATAGAACCTGGCCAGGCATGGCTCAGCAGTTGAGCATCGACCTAGCATCCAGGAGATGGAGGTTCAATTTGTGGTCAGGGCACATGCCAGGGTGGCCGGTTCAATCCCCAGTTGGGGGCATGCAGGAGGCAGCTGATCAATGACTTTCTCTCATCACTGATGTTTCTCTCTCTCTCCCTTTCCCTCCCTCTCTGAAATCAATAAAGATATATTTTTAAAAAAAAGAAATAGAAAGATGCAAAATGAAAAGGGAATGCCTCCCTCTTCTTCCTCATGCTCCCCCCTCATCCCCCACCTCAGTTCTTCTCTGGTAATCAGTAACACTTCCTTCTGATCCCTTTTAGAAAATGCATGTTTATGCTTGGACAAATGTATATCCGTTTAAAAGTTTTACATGAAAGAGGTCTTGTTACACCTGTTGTTCTGTACTATGTTTTTATAATATGCTAATAATAGAGTAGATAGGTGTTTTTAAAGAAATATAAATACATACCAGCTGCATGTAATATTTTCAAAACAAAATGCCTTTCTTTATCCTAAAAATCTGGCGTTCACTTTGGGCCCCCAAACCATAAATCATGAAAGTGTTAGTCATAGCTGGGTCTGTCTCAGTCTCACTGATGCAGTAAGTGATCTCATGCTACTTCGGGATAAATGAACATCTTTATGTTTAGTTAGCACTTTGAATTACAAGTACTACACAGTCTACTGGAAACCTTGGGGGAGTGGTCAGCAGCCCAGTTGCTGTCCCGGCTCTGTTGCAGATGAGCCTCTTGGTTTGGGATTGCAATTTGGATTAAGGGCTTGTTCCCTTTTGGCATGGACCTTGAGCAGCTATAGTTCTGGCATCCCAGAGGAAAGATTTGCTCTCCATATCAAGTCATTCTCTTGAGTGAGGTGAAGAGATCTCCTAAGGAAACACCTCTCTGGGTTCATCAATCAATCAATCACACTCTGCAATCATAATGCAAGGCTTTAACTATAGGGCCTTAGGGATGGTTAGATCATCCGGGGCTGCCCTATAAACTGCCTGATCATAACTTAAGACCTACATTTCAGCTAGAACCCGATCAGTTTGGAAATGCAGTGAGTTTAGTAGCTACTGACTCGTAATGTGTAGGCTGCTAAATGGAGAGGAAGGATCATGTGTGAATCTATCTTGTTGGGCTGTTTTCAGAGTATCTTTATGGCATTTATTAAGCTTGTTATGACCCTAACATTCCACATGTGGAATTCTCTTGTGCCATGGTGACAGCTTTTTAAAAATTATTATTTTAATTTCAGAAAACCCAACACAGAGAAATCATTTATTTTTAAAGGTACTGTTTAGTTTATTTAAGAACAGATCTGGAGTTGTGGCTATGCTCTTACAAAAGCAGCGACAATACACCAAATGGCTGAAATGCGTGAAAAATCATCTCCTTCTTCTAGCCTACAGATGCTTTTTCCACTCACGAGGGGTCAATTTTTTTTTTTCTAGAATGTGTATGCATACCGTTAGCTCTACCACTGATTGCTAAGTAATTAACAATAAATTTATTTCAGTTTAAATAAAAGTACTTCAAGAAGGCAATGGTCTGCATGAGAAAACTGTTCATCACATTTAATCCTACACATACATAAACTAGCAGGAAGCCTTTTTGCTCCTGATGTCAAGTGAATCATACATATTGAAAAAGACCTATGCCTCACTCTATTGTATGTCACCATAGTTGATATCCATTTTCGAACTTTACTGTAACCGTGCAGAATTAATTCTTTGTAAGAAAACAAACTTTTCCCTAAGGGAAAGTATGAATTAGGTAATTTAGAACTGATGAAAGGTATTTCCAAATGGATTCTTAAATTTTTATACCAGACATTAATAGCTTTGTCTTCCCTCTGTGCTTGTTAATTTTATGTTTGACACATATGTCTTCACTTAAGCAGTTGATTCTCTACAGGTTCCAGTTACGTGTGTTGGTAACCATCACCTTCACCCTTTAAACTACTTTTATTGCATTGAAAGGTTTTAAAGGATTCAGTAGTTACGCTTTTCTAACAGCATTTCATGTCTAGGTTGCTGAATATTATAATTTTATGCTGAAGTTGATGAGATTTATTGAATTATTTAGGCATATTATTGATATCTGGTCCATAAAATTGATCATATATAAGATATACCAGCATATAATTTGTTGGAATATGGAATTTATTTTTTTGTTTCAATATAGTACTACTTATCAGATTGAAAGTTTGAACTCGAAATGAGTTAATTTCTGATCCCAAAGTGACTGATTTAATCTAAGAGCATATTAACCCAGGATCAAATTAGGTGCTTACAAAACACATAATTAACTAGTTTCTTTTAAGACTTTTAGAGTCTTATGACAAAGACAAAGGAAAAATATATAGTCATACAGAGACTGCAAATACTCTATACTTATAGTTTTCAGTATATAAAAATGAAAGTAAAAATGTGTTCTTTAAGTAACCCTGAGGGTGGATGAAATTGTAGCTGAAGGTTTAAATGACTGACATACTTCTGTGGCGCTTTCTGTATGCACAAAGTAGGACTGTGGCCCACTCTCTCCTGTGTCTTTCAAGCAGCCTTCAGACAGGAATTTCTTTCTCCAAAGGCTGTGTAGACATGGCAGGCATTTCACAAGACTGATGGGTTTTGCAAAGAAAGACTAGTAATCCTTGTGGTTTAAATAAAGAAAACACATTAGCTAAGCTAACTATAGATTTTCTTTTCATAAAACAATTTTTTAAATTGATTTTAGAGAGAGGAATGGAGAGAGTGAGAGAGAGAAACATAGATGTGAGAGAGAAACAGCGATCGGTTGTTTCCTGCATGTGCCTTGACTGGGGATTGAACCCTCAACCTGGGTATGTGCCCTGACTGGGAATCGAACCTGACACCTTTTGGTGCAACCAACTGTGCCACACCGACCAGGGCAAAACAATTATTTTTGATTTGCTCTTAACAGTTGTTAGATTCTAATCTTTATACATGTGAATCAATCTGGGTTAAAAACATTTTTTTGAGGGAATGATAAACATAAAAAGTTGACTATAAGCCCTTTTAAGTTTGTGAGTATAAGAGGGATTTCTTAAAATTTATTTGAACCAAATAGAATTGTGTTTCCTATTGCAGAAGTTGCAGAAGTACTGTTAACCCTAGCTTGCTTTGAGAATTTAGTCAAATAGAAACAGCCATCTGAATATTTGTAGTGTTCTATTTGAATATGACACTTTCAGATTCCTCCCACTCCTTTAACAACTTCTCCAAATTTCTTTGAGTGGTTAATGAATACATTAAAACAACAGTTTCTAATGATTTAATAACACAATGGACAGGTTTTGTTAATTTTTTTTTACAGTTGCTTGTTCTTTGAAGTGTGTTTTATAATTTGGTTTTAGAGTATTAAGTACATGTTAGTGAAAATTCTTGATTAATATTTTGGAAGATTTTATATAATCTGTCGGAAGAGGAATTCTTGAACCTTGATTTAATAGCGTAATACACCAGTGTCTTCTGTCTGCTTAAAGATTTTCATTGTATTCTCCTTTTTGACCTTATCCTAGTACATTGTTATTTAGGTAGAAGTAGAAAACTGAGCCTTTTTCTTGTGGATGTACTTCTTGAGATTTTTGTAAAATTGAAATAAAGTAAGAAATCTCATATCTGGTGAAGTGGTACCAGTTCATCTAGGCATAAAGGAGTCAAGAACTTTTTGATTACATTTTAGTTTCTAGAAAGTTAGACCCTTCACTTTTCTCATGTGCTTCTGAGACCTTCTACTAAAAGATGTGCCAAATGTCAAATGTCCCAGGAAAATACTTTTCATAGGCTTGAAAAAAAGGTTGAAGATCTATCTTTAATTGACCATCATAAAAAAAATTATAGACATTTATCTCGCTGACATTATCTGATGTGAATGGTCCGAGGAATATAAAAGCCCAAACCATTGTAGGTTGAAGTCCACTTCCATAATTAGCCTTGCATTTCTGAGACGGGAGGGCTGGTTCTGCTGTGGAATATTATCATTTTCACGCTTGTTCCATCCCTTTTTGTTATCAAAGTTGCTTTTTAAAATTTATTGATTTATAAATTTTAGGATATGTTTTTTATTGATTTTTTTTTTAGAGAGGGGAAGGGAGAGAGACAGAAGACAGAGAGAGACAGAAAGAGAGAGAAACTGTTTCAATGTGAGAGACAAATATTGTTTGGTTGTGTCTCATATGCGCCCTGACAGGGGATCGAACCTGCAACCTTGGTATGTGCCCTGGTGCCCTTACGGGGAATCGAACCCACAACCTTTTGGTGTACGGGTTAACGCTCCAACCAGTTGAGCCTCCCAGCCAGGGCCAATTTTCTTTTTTAAAGGAAGTTTTAGATTAGGTTAGTGACTGTAAAAGTAACAGCTCATGTTTTTCTTGTTTGTTTATATGAGAATTGGTGAATGAAATAGATTGTAGATTAAGATTAAATTTTTGCTAATTTCAAAAATAAAAAATTTTTTTTTTTAATCTCAGCCCAGAGAGCATGGGACTTCTTGACCCAGCGACCAGTGATGGGCGAGTTATTTTCTTCTTACCTTGGCAGAAGATGACTATAGCTGGCACTACCGACACGCCAACCGATATTACAAACCATCCGATTCCTTCGGAAGAAGACATCAACTTCATTTTGAATGAAGTGCGTAACTACCTGAGTTGTGATGTTGAAGGTAATGTATAAATAAATTCCTTTAAGCTTGTCTTCTCTCTTTCGTAAAAACTTCCCAACCCAAACCATTCCAGCCCTCTCTAGGTAACTGTCACATCTCCAGCCTGACTCAGGTTCACGCCTGCCTGCTCGAATCCTCTGTGCTCACCACTTCTCCCAGATTTTTGAGGACTGAATTACAACAAAGTGGAAAGAAGTTGCTTTTCTTTTCCTTCTACTTTCTGCGTCCACATGAAACTTATACATTCCTTTTCTGATCATTTTTAATGGCATGATTGGCATGCCATACGTGGGCTCTAAACATGCCTGCTCTTCGAGAACAGTATGAAATGTTTGCATGGCTATTTAATTTCTAGAGCTTGGGAAGGTCTGATTTACAGATATAGGGTATTCATAGGAAATAATTAGAGAAATGAGAGCATAAAGGTATATTCTAAGAAGCTTAATGAGCTGTTACTATGTGGAAAGTAGAGTGTTGACAGTGGATTTAGCTAAGAAGGGTAAGTATGTTTGCTTGAATTGAAAAAGCCAAACTTTACTTCTTTCCAAACCTGGACATACTTTCATTTAACTTGGATGTCATAACATTTTCTCCAATGAACATATATAGTGATTTTTTAATAAAAATCCAGGCTAATTTCAGAAGATTCCAAACATTATCTCTCAGTATTTCGTCTCAGTTAATAGCCTCATCATCCATCTAGCCACCCAAGCTAGAATGGCATGCTTATCTTTGGCGAACCTTCCCTTTCCACATCCAGTCCGATTTCTCTCAGTGCTCACTCCTTAAATCCCCTTTCACTTTACTGCCCTGGTTCACACCTGTCATTTCTCACTTAAACAATTGGCCCTCTAACTGGCTCCCATTTGTCAGGCCTCTGTCCCCACCCAGGCTGATCTTTCCATCAGAACTGTCTTTCTAAAACTCAATTCTGATCATCACTTCCCTGAGCTAAAATATCCCTTGGATGTCTCCCCACTGGATTTTGGAAAAGTTCTAAACTATCTTGCATGGGATCTAAGGCTTTTCACAATTTGTCTTTGCAGGTTTATATTCAACTACTCTACTTCTGTGCATTCTGTGATCTAATCATATTGTATTATTTATCATATCCAAACCAGGTCATGCATTTTTAAATCACTTTTAAGCCTCCTCCCTGTTTACACTGAAGCCTTGCTCTGGGATGTCTTTTCCCCCACCTTTTCATCTTGGCTTTTAACCTTTGTACTCCCTTAGAAGGTTGGTGTAATATATCATATTATATTATAGGTAATAATCTGAGATATATTTTCACTTGGAGATCCTTGAGGGTAAGGATTCTTTATTCAGCTACAAAGCTTGCTGTCTCTCTGGTATGCCACTCATGATTGTTTTGAATTAAAATGAATTAGTAATAGGTATTTTCAGGGTTTTTGATGCTGTTAGCAGTTTGGAAATCTTTCCATATCAAGGTAGAAAGTTTAAGATTTTTGAAAAATAGTCTGTATCTATTTATATCTTCTGTAATGTTGGCTTCAGTGGAGAACACGCTAAGACAATTTTTGCCTTGATGTGATTCACCAGCATCTATGGATCTTTTTTTCCTAGAGGATTTTTTCATTGTGTTATCACATATTTACAAACAAACAAAACAAACAAACCACTTTAAAAAATGGTTCAGGTCACTCTCCTAGTTTAATCGATTGATCCATATTTTACAGTTTTAGTTTCTTTTAATTTCAAGTAATGGGTTTCATTGAGTAGAGTCTCTTTGGATATCTATAATAATAGTATAAATATATTGAATACATGTCATTGAAATCTGTGTGGCTAATACTTATGTTCACACACAGTTATCTGGAAAATAATCATACTTTGTTTAATATCCATATTTAAACATTCAAGTGCATTGAAATTGTAGCTTGATAATCTTTTTTTTCCTTTTGCAATCTAGAAGGAGCTTCCTCTGGGTATGATTGTATTTTAATATATTGATTATTGTTAATGAATTCTGCTTCATTTCAAATTTACCTGGGTAGAACATGTAAAAAGTAGGTTCATATCTTGGCCCTACAAGCAGGAAGTTTGATTGTTGGAGCAAGAAATAAAATTAATTCAAGAGCAGAGAGCTCTATGTTGACAGTTTCCAAATTCTTAAAGTTCAAATGCAGTAACGATGAGAAATCTAACTGCTTATATGTGCTGAAAGGCTGGATGTTCGGGAAACAGATTTGGTTCCAAGAAGCCACCATGCCCATAACATAGGTGGGGATTTCCACCAGTGAAATAAGCTTTGAGCTGTAACAGGGACTGAATCCTGCACCCTTCTCTTTTATTCTGCCTATAAATAAATGGGAGACTTTTGCAATACCTGGTGGGACCTGGTTGATCTATAAAGCTTATTTCAGTTAACATACCTTTTGATAGTCAGAGAATTGGTGAAACAAATAGTTTTTGTCAATTCTGATTTTTTTTATAAAAGTGGTTGATTGAAATTAATAACTAAACACTGTAAATCAAGCCTTTCTCCTGGTGGTCTGGGAACTCTTGAGACTAAGAGTTCTCCAAATAGTGAATATTGGGGTAAAAGGGAGATCTTTCATATGCTTCATTCATTTTCTTGGGCCCCCATCTGTCACACCTTCCTACTTATAAACGTACCTTTTAAACAATTAACAATGAATGATTCTTTACAGGTCCTTTTCATTTTTATATCTAATTGACTGAGAGCCTCGTATTTGAGGAATTATCCTCTGTCTTGGTAGAGTGTCAGCGGAAGGATGCCTATATCTTAAAGTGAAGACATTCAAATTTGTATTTTTTCCAAGGAATTTCTCTTTTATACTGATGAAATGTGAGAGAAAACTCAGCTTCAGGCACCATTGAGTTATTTGATTACATGCTGTTGCTATATTTTAATCTTTCCATTTGTGTACAATGGGTAACACATATTTTATTTTTTAAAAGTAGTTTATTGATTTTTAGGGAGAGAGGAAGGGAGAGAGAGAGAGAGAAACATCAATGTGAGAGCAAAACATCAGTCAGCTTCCTCCTGCATGCCCCCGACCAGGAATCAAGCCTGCATGTGCCCTGACTGGGAATCGAACCGGCAGCCCCTTGGTTCACGAATGATGCTCAGCCAACTGGGCCACACTGGCCAGGGCCATGCTTTATTTTTTAAAAGTCTACCATTATTAAGTACTGTTTTTGCTAGACACCCTGCTAATCATATTGCCTATATTATCTCTTTGATTCCTCAGAGCAACCTTATGAGGTCTATTTTAATTCCCACTTTGCAGATGATGAGGCTGAGTCCCAGAAGCCTTAAGTTTCTTGCCAATAAATCTTTTGTGTTGGAGCCATGATGTGAGTACAAGTCAGTCTGGCTTCAATACTTGTGCTTCTGAAAACTGTACAGTGCTCTAACTGGTAGTTTCGGGTTTCAGGATGTGATGTTCTATTTACTAGGGAGTGGATTAAGTCTCTCACTTTGTTTTATTGAGCTGCTAGGCACCCTCACAATGATAGCAACCTTTGCTCTCAACTGGCCTTATTTCACGTTTCCTAACCATTGGGCCAAGCAGTCTTCTCTACATATTCAAAATTGAAAAAGTTTGATTTAGATCCTAGAGCAATAATCATTTTTAAAGGATTTATTAAATGGATGAATAGTAAAATTCTGACAACAGTTTCTGAGCCTCCCCAAATGGCTATATCCTTAAGAAAAAAAAAAAGTGTCAAATCTTAACACTCCATGCTGTTCGCAGCAGCTGCCACACTTCTGCAAAATGCGTTGGAACAATTCTGAAAAGCATTTTGCCTGTTGGGAATAAGACTATGTCTTCTTTTACGATTTAGAAAGCTTTCCATTCACAGGCTGAATTTTCTAGATTACTTGTTTGTTCTTTTCTGAAACGCATGGGTAATTGATAGTTGTGCGGTGCATATCTGGTTAGGAAGAAAAATCATCTTTTGAAAAATGTATCATTAAGTCTTCTGTGTAGAGGTTAATCAGAAGGATGCAGTGGCGAAACTAAGCTATGACTTACAGGGATTGAGAGAGACAGAAGATTTGCTGAGTGCTTTATCCACGTAGTTTTTCTGGAGTGCTTCTCTAGGCAGCTTCTCTAGTTGTGCCCAGGTTTTCACATATGCAATTAGTAGTGTTTATAGATTGCCTGCTATTCAATTAACAACTGCGCTGGCCATATCAACTCACTGCAGACCTGCCTTTTCACTGCCAGAGATTGTACCAGGGTTATCAACTTACACAGGCTTGGATGTCTTCCAGCTGTTTAATTATAGTGTCACATGTTTTGCTTTTTCTAGTTTCATTAGTTTATAAATGTAATATGGTATCTCATTTCTGTGATTAACACTTCATTTCAGCAGGTTAAACATGATGGTAGAGAAGTATTGATTTCTGACACTATTTCCCCTGTGTTCATTTAGATATTTCACATGCTTTTTTTTGATTTACTGAAGGTGGCACACATGAGAAAGAACACCCCCAAACGTATGGCTAAATAACTGATGTGAAACAAAACCACACATTTAGCTCTTAATTGTAACTTCCCGTGGGCTTCATTTCCTATTAATTTTTAACACAAACACTTATCTTGCCAAGTTTTTAAGAGTAAAAATATTAATTACCATTTGAAAAATTACATAGTATTTAGTCTTTTCAAGCAGCTGTGAAAAATGTCTGTTCAACTTTACTATTTATGGTATTTTATTCCATATATATTATGTATACTAAAACCTGAATTAGTTATTTATCAGCGTAGTAATAAAAATACTTCTTAAACATGATGGTAGGACACTTTTATTTTCTCACTGTCCTTTAGAGAATATTGCCAAGGACTTATATACACTCTGGAGGTACTCTTGGTTTGTGTGTTTTTTTTAAATATCTGGGCAATTGGCACTTAAAATCAGCTAGGTGTCATCTGGGTGAGCCACTCTAAAAAAGTGGTGTTTAATGAGGATTTTTCTCAACCTTAATAGTAGTGTTGTTTCCT